TTCTAATCTATATGTATTATTCTAGTATGCATTATATTATGTATCAATTGCAATTTAGCAATATCATTCAGTTAATAATATTAATATAATTATCGCGTTTCAGTTTGTAGAAAGATCAATCAAGTGATTCAGTTGTACAAATCACATTCCCACCTTGTTATGGTTGTGTCACCAGGGGTGCTATGTCAACGGAAATTTAGTACGTTGATCGCTTAAAAATTTGTGGCAATCCAATTATAACAAGAGGAATTTACATTAGATAATGTATTTGAATTGATACGTATTTTATCATAAATAAATTTACATATTTTATATAATATATATATTAATAATATACAATAAAATCATTGCTTTACGCATTTTTAATATCAATATACGCGTTTTTATACATTGTATACACGTTTTTAAACTATCGTTGTTTTACTGTATGTTGTTTTACATTTAAATTGGTGTTGTTTTACGCGTTTTTCAACGTTTTTAGGTGGCGTTGATTGACAAAGGGTTCGTTTCCCTACGTTTTTTGGCGTTGAGCAACACATGGCGTTTTTCAACACTTTATACGCCTGTTTAAAACTTGCTGATGAATCAACAACTTAGTAAGTTTTTAATTTACAATTTGCAAAATGTGAATTATTTGAATTACAGTTTATTTATTTATTTATTGATTTTTAGCAAAAGTTGGAAAATAGGAATAAATTTACACATTCAGACGATGATTCTCATGATGGTAATGATGTAGACNCTTTTAATCCTTCGTCCCAAATAATTTCTGTAGGTGGTGCAGAAGCAGTATCTTTACCGGTGACTGCTCCTATCATTGCGAGTTCCTCGATGTCGTCTATGTTAATATATTCTATACTTACCCTAGTACTTATTACAATTATATACTTCATGGTCAGGAAATGGCGGAATTCACAGAAAAAAAGTAACCAATTTTTCACCTACGAAAATTATATAAATAGAGAACATAGACCGGATTTTTATTATCTCAAATCCTAATCGATTACCGTATAAGTACTGGAGCTAGTGGAACTTCTTCGAATCTTTTTTCGATATGAGACAATATCGTTTCTGCTAAATCTTTGGGCGGATTAATTAAGATCTTTTCAGCATCGGCTACCGTACATCCTAATAACCATCCAATATGAATCCGGTCACCTCTCTTACCATTATGCCCATGGTGTTGTAAAAATCGATAGTCTTCCATTACAATGTCTGTCATTTTCTCCTGATCAGCTATTATTTTACAAAATTCCTGTCTATCCTCTTCTGTGATTGGGAAATGGATTTTGTTGGGTTCGAAGCCTATGTACTGGGAAACTTGGTCACGTAGTTCGGCCATTATACCAATAAAGCTTATCTTTAAAATATGTGGATTTTTCGTAAACTTTGATATGCAAAATACTAATAATTATCTCCGGGCATATCCGAGGTCGGGCTGTATGATCGGAGGGATGGATCTCTCATGTTCAGGGTCGGAAGATCGATTATAGGAATTGAAGTTAGCTAGTATTATTGCACGAGAAAAAAATATGCGGTCATAAATAATGTTGCAAGTATTCTAGCAGAGGTGTGGTAATTTCAGCTAAGAAAACTTGACAATATAACCTATCTAATAAGTACTTTCAGTCACATCCTCAAGATGGAAATACCATAAATTACTAATCTCGTCTAGCGCTCCAATTTCTGATATGTGAGGTAAGGCTGGTAGGTTAGCAATTATCTCATTTTTTCGCATGGATGAGACTGGTCCGATTTCTTCTGAAATTGATACATGCTCTTTGTAACGCATATGATAGACCAATTTGTGAAAGAATAAATTATACTCTTCAATGCATTTTACAAGCTCACTAGGATATCGAGCAAATTCAGAGCATATTTTTTCCTTCATTTTGTCATCTACCAAGAGGTTTTTATCTTTTGAAATTTTCCTAGCGCATTTCATAAATTTCTCCCATAATACCTCGATAGGGTTACTTACCATAAAAATCTCGTAGCTAAGCCATTCGCCATGAAATATTTCGTATAAGTACTCTATCTTTTGATACAACATTTCTTGTGCCTTTTTGACCGCAGTTCTGTAAGCACGCTTGTAAGCAATCCCACGAGATTCCATCATCTTGGAAGTAACACCATTGACTATGATATTTTCTTTTACGAATCCTTCAAGCCATGACTTGGCCTTGTTTTGAGCGTAGTCATCAATTTGCTTATATTTCTCATCTGGGTCTTCGATTCGCATGATTCGACTTGAGGGTTCTGGCTCATACTTCTTGTCGTACATGATAAATCGGGCACAAAGGCCAATAATAGTTTTTTCGAAATAATGGTATAAATCTAGTTCCTTTCCCAATTCCTTAGCTATATCGGCGAATTCCATTTTTTCGCCTTTAGTTGGTTTTAGCTTTCTGCCATACAAATCGAAAGTGGTCTCGGGGTGGGCCACTATATAACTAAAGCGTCCACCTGGTACTGGGATTTTACTATCATATTTCCCTTGCATTCGTACCATAAATCGCTGAACGGCTTTGTTGTCTTTATCGGGTTTCCATGCATCAGTCTCTATAAACTGCTCGAAATTCCATTGGTTGGGATTGATTATAGCATCCCTGAGAACATCCTCAACAATTTTATGGAGAGAGCGCTCGTTGTTGATATCCCTGACTTCACTCATAATCCGCTCACCTATGGTTTTAAAAAGCTGGGATATGCCCTGTTTCACAGTATCAATTCCTCTTATGAAAGGATCCTTCAGACCGAAGTTTACTGCATCTTCATGCTTGGTGCCAAAATATTTTTTCTTCCCAGTGAAGACTACTGGGAATAGCACTTCTTCATAAGCCATTTCGAGATAACCCGATCTGGTTTTCAGCCTAAGAAAACTGTTTACTTCATTACGCAATTTCTCCATTACGCCCATAGTAATTGTGACCATTTCGGTCCAATACTCTAGCTTCGAAATTGTGCCTTTCCCGCTATTGTAGGCCAGATCACATTTCTCATAATAAGAATCTGGGCAAGTGAGATATAGGGAATCAGTATCCCCGTATTTTATCCCAAAGCCCTTCTTTTTCACGAATTCTGCGACGAATTTGATATTCTCTCGCCCAGCTGAAGTAACACCCCCAGCAAGTGCTAGTGTATAGAACGGGAAATCACTTTGGCCGGTCACACCATAGAACGAATTCATATATAATTTAATCGCCTTCTGCTTCGAATTTAAAGAATTGTATTCAAAACAAATAGAACTATATTTTTTCATAAAATCATCATATGATAAATCAGCTCCATCAGATCGCTCCTCCGGAACAATAAAGGGACTTAGGATCTTGGTCATCTCTGCGTGCCTCTCAGTATTTTTTACAGAGGATAAAACATCTTTGATTGCGTTCACTACCAGGAAAGATCCGCCAGCTGAATCCATTTTACTTTTAACTTTCCCCATATATTCCTTTTTCTTTCCGAGAACTTTAAGTTGGGCCTTTAATTCATTCCGTATATTGAGCAGATTTTTCAATATTTTTGTAAATAGACCTTCCTGATCAGATTTATTTCCATGCCGTATGGTCCAGGCTCGCACAGGTTTACCGCCATACTTGAACTCGATACTGTGAAGCACTTTATTCTCTCTCTTTAACTTATCTACTTCCGAAAGTGTTGAGACCATCTTCTCGGGTGAGAGGTTGTAAGTCATAATTATGCTAGGATACAAGGATCTAAAGTCTAAACCAGTGACAGGACGCTTATTTTCAAGACCCTTTTCTGGCGGGAACACATACGCTCCTGGAAACTTCCCAGATGCTTTCTGATTGGAAATTTTCGTGGTGTATAGAATGTCCTGCGCCCAAGCTTCAGCGCCTAAGAGATTGGATACTTTCGTTCCTATAGCATAATAATGTGAGTCGAATAATGATATATGAGCGATTGAGGCCACCNCGAAATATTATGTAAAATTACGAAATATTGCAAATCGCAAAATTACGGAATATTACAAATCGTAAAATTACGAAGCTTTGCATATCGTAATATTTTGAAATATTTTAAAAAGTTACAAAATATTACGCTTATGCAAACTTGCGGCAGGTCTGGAAGCTTACGAAATATTATGATGTGTAAACTTGCGCAACTTTTCGCACTATATAATTTCCTGATGTATATGAGCGATTGAGGCCACCTTTCTGTAATCATTTATAACATTAGATTTGACTATGAGCTCCTGACAACGTAAAGCATCTATAACACAATAATTTACGATTTCATGCATATGTTTTTTGGAAGAGTCGAAAGCCCTGTCTTTCGCTTTCAAATAATACTTCCATAATTTGCTCATGGGCATATCGGCTTTACCATCGAGACCATATTTTTCTAAGAAGTATTTTAGTAATGTTTTCTCAGAGCGGGGGTGAAGTTGCATAAAACTTGCGCGAACATCGATCGGTACACATCCCAGAAGTTTAAGAAAGGAGGATTCGAAAGTCAAAGAGGGATTGATTTTGATATTGATAGATTCTCGTCCTAACACTTTTTTGGGACCTCTGTCCTCTTTCTTTACGTACTGGTCCCTTCAGAAGAAACCATTAGTTAGTGGCTTCCCTTTTCCGCCAAAATAATTCCAAGTGAGGATAGATTCAGCATCAGCTTTCTTATGCGGGTTTGCCGACATTCGCTGGACCATCCACTCGAGAACATTTAATTTGGTGGCCTTTTCAACAATGAAAGGCCAATCGTATCCTGAATCATTAAATCCAAGTTCGATGTCTGGAGCAAAAAATTTCCAACATAAAGCGAACGCCTTTATTATATTAGTCTGGTTGCCGCATATAATCGTAATCCAGCGCGGGTCTGGTTCCGTTTCTACATCAACTAAACATATCCGCTCTAAGGGGATCGGATCATCTTTCCAATGCAGGGTCATACAGATCGTAAAAATTTGAGATGTGTCATTTTTAGCTTCTGGGAAGTTTCCTGACCCACGCGAGTCGTATGTTTCTATATCCCATGTTAGGACTAATGCTCGATCATGGGTAAAGAGAGAAGATGGATATATTTTGTAAAATGGTTCAAAATTGTCTATAGGACGAAAGTTTTCAATGTAGACATAAAATGCATGTGGACAATGTTGGGATTTCGCATAATAAGGTGCACTGAAATTATATCTATAATCACTTATTAATCCCCACCCGGAAAGAGGTATTCTATACTCTCTCGCAACTTTACGATAATATATGCCTGTATCGTCTGAAGCTGTCTCTATTTTACATTCGGGATCAACCTTTGAATTGTAGCTTGAGATAATATCGAGAGCGGTGAACCTTAGATCTTTATTAGGTGTGATAATGCGAAGATATGGCTTTTTTTCTGCATGATATCCACGAATAGGATATGCCTTTATATATTCCATCTGGATTAGATTCATGTTTACGGTCTTCCCCTCATTGTCTTTCCCAGTAGCAAGGATGCCCTTCACTTTAGACCAGAATTTAGGGATACTTGTATTGCTGGGAACATGAATATCGAAAAATACCTTGATACCGGTAATAGCGACAACTGCTTTCTGGCCATTGACGAGATACTCATAGAGGCGAAGAATATAATGAGGAATTTGATTAAAATATTCTTTAGCTTCTCCTATGTCGACTGGCATGAATGGAATACCTCGATGGTTCGCTATTTCGTCATTGAGAGTTGAAGTCGAGCCCCCATTGTTTCTCGCAACTAGTTCATCACGAGTTNATGGAATACCTCGATGGTTCGCTATTTCGTCATTGAGAGTTGAAGTCGAGCCCCCATTGTTTCTCGCAACTAGTTCATCACGAGTTGGAAGGCCCAACAAGTAATTCTCACTTCCATATCTGATTACCCGACCTGATGTTTTATCTTTTTTGACCTCTAGGCGAAAAAGAGCGGGCGCGTCAGAGAGGAACTCTAAAAGCTCAGATTGGGTCATTTTTTCTTAAGCAATTTACGATAATTTATAGTTATACCAAAACTCGAGGTATATTATTCGTAAGAAAAAATGTTTAAAATGAAAATAATTCCCTGACATTATTAATTGATATATAACAAATGGGAGGCGGAAAAAAGGAGAAACGATCCCAGGCCGAAGGCGCTAAAGCAAAGGATCCATCCTGGAATTTTTATTATTGTCCATATATACTTAGGACTGGAGAAGAGTGCAATTGGAGATGCTATTCTCCAAAAGGATGTAAAGTCCATCAGGATTCTAGGCAAGTTGCTTGCAAAGAAAGCGGATGTGATGAGATGACAAGATCCAGATATGACTATTACGATACACATGCAAAAAAACATAGATCGAGGGAACATTATCATCGAAAAAAGCAGGCTAAGATGGCTTCAGCGGAGATACCGATAGGTAATTTAGAGGTAAACGAAAATATTATAACTTGTCACTAGTGGATCCCAAAGGGATCGTATCACTAGAAAAAAAAAGCTAGTGACAGAACTAGTGACGCAGATAATAGGCTCTTTAGGAATTCTAGGCTGAAAGAAACCTTTCTTGATAGATGTCACTAGTGTCACTAGTGTCACTGAAAAAAATCTGAGTTCCTTAACTTTTTTTATTTTTTTATAGCATACATTTATTATAATATATCTTGTGTAAAGTAGGTAGCATAAAAAAAATTTGATTTTTTTTTTCTAATTTATTACTCTTTTACTAGTGACACTAGTGACACTAATCAAGAAAGAAATAAAATAGCCTAATAATCTCAAGAAAGATAACAAAGCTGTCACTAGTTCTGTCACCAGTTAGTATTCAGAACTAGT